TTTGGGTGTACTATTCCTTTAAGGGTCTTGCTCAGGGACCCAGACTGCAGGCTGTTGGGATCAAACTGGGTACTTGCAACCTGCTCAGAGCACAAGTGCACTGCTCTAACCACTAGGACAACAATCCCCCTAATTTTTTATTTTTTGTTTTTTTCCAGAATAACCCAGGCTTTATTCATCAGTTATTTCTGGAAGGTTCCCATTTACACCAGAAGATGGCAGCAGTGGCGCAAAGGGACACAGTAGGTGATGGTAGAGGACATAGATATCCATATCTATGGTAGAGGAGGCCTGGCTGACTAAACTGTGTTGCTCTACACGGACACCTGCTGGAAGTTAAACAGTACTGCATCAGACACACAGTTTATATGATTGTATAGAACAGGGTCCGAATAAAGAAAATCATCAACCATTAAAGGTCGGGAGACATTTTTAATTCTAATCTGTTACTTTAAACAGAAATTAACACAGAAGCAAAATTAGATTTTTATGCATCCATCTACATAAATCTAAAAAAATAGAAAAATATTTCCATTTTAAAATCTACATTGTTTTTGAACTACAGAACAACAATCTTTCAGTTTTGTAAATAGACAATTTCCTGACTCACTTTATTTATAAAACAACTGAACAGGCCATTATTTTATTTTGTTTCTTACTTTTTTATGAGAGCAGTGGGCTTTATGCTGCCCTGCAAGGCTTTAAACCTGGGTTGGAGACTAAGCCATTCTATTCTAAAGCACATATCAAGGTGCTCATTTTGAGTCTGGATCCATATTTATTTTTGATTCTGTTCATGGTGGAGAATCCTGCTTCACAGCAGCAGGTTGAGCCAAACATCCTCTAAATGCGCAGGGTCATCTTTGAGCACGCCATTTCACTTTTCTTTCACCAGTTCGCTGCAGTTCTTCCAGCAGTCCACACTTTCTCTGCTCTCTTTTTCTCATGTTCGTCTTCAACATGCAGTAATTTATAAATGTTTTAAATCCTTGGGGTCCGGACCCGGACCCTGGTCCGCTAATCCGTGACCTCTGGTATACAGTAAGGTAATTGACTGTAAGCCAATTCTATATCAGCTTTCAAATCTAAGCTCAAAACTCACCATTTTAAACTTTCTTATTCACTTTAAATTATTAGTATCTTTACTGTTTTACCTTAATCATGATTTTATTTATTCTACTGTTTTAACTATGTGCCTGTCGTGTATTTTTTTATGTATGAATTGTAAGATGACCTTGAGTGTCCAGAAAGGCACCTGTAAATAAAATCTATTACTATTTTTGTTGTTATTGGAATTATCTTGTATAATTTAATTTCTCATTTTAGATTAATAAAGTTTAAAAAAAAATCTTTGATATACTTTAATATGCTGTCTATAATGTAAATGTGTCATATTGTGAAATCAAGTGAAAGTTTTGTGGATGTGATGTGTCTTATTGTTCTCACCTCTGCTGTTCTCACCTTCTTCCTGTCTGCAGCGCTGCGGCCTCCACACCACAGAGTAAGATATTTGGTGAGATCTTAAGACAGAAATACAGTTTTATCTGCTCTATCTTAGGTGTCCAAAGCTCTTTGACTCAATATTTCAAATGATTAACAATTGCCCATTTTCTGTTTTACAAATTTTCTTTGTGATCCCATGAAAAAACGCAATGCCCATTCTGGCCCTCATGGTAAAGTTGATCTAGAACCTTAATTTTTAATTGCTTTTCTATCTGCTTTTATTGTTTTTTATTTGCACTTGCTGTTGCTTTTAATTTCTCTTATATTTGTTTTTTATTTATTTAATTAAAACACTTTCAATTGTCTTTCTACAGAATTGTGCTAAATAAATAAACCTGCCTTGCCTTTCTCCCTCTTCTCACAGATAAGACCTATTTATTTTTTCTATTCTATACTATTTTTACTATACTATTTTTTACTGGATCGTCTGAAATATAGTTTTTCGTTCATTCATTCATGCACACACTCATTCATTCGGTTTTTCTGAGCTTTCTGTAAATAAAACCATCTGTGCAGCTCAAAGATTACAGCTGCAGGTGTGCTTTTTAACCAGCAGGTGTCAGTAGTGAGTCAATAATGCAGCAGGGAAAGCTCAGTACCAGAGAAATAAAAACTTTTTACAAAAACATTCACACAAACTTAAACATAAAAGGATGGCTATACTGACAGTTCTTTAACAATAGTTTGTTGGAATACAATATAATAATGTAGCATGTAATAAAAATCCATATTTAAATAAAACTAGGATGATATGTTTATGTATTATATTTAAATTAAACAATGCAAGCCTTTTGCTGAAGGTTGCTGTAAAAGAATTTTCCTCTTATTACACAGATTAATTTTAAGTATGATTGTTTTGCACATATGCCCCACTTTGACTCTTTTTGCAAAAGCTATTTCTACCATGATGTGGATGCAGTGGCCTGGTTTAGCAGCAGACAAATGCTCAGAGGACATCTTTTTTTTTTTTTTTTAAATACACTGAATAATGTTCAGAAGTATTGAATTTATGAAGTCTGGTGATTCAAAAGTAGCCAGTTCAGCTCTTGTTGACTAAACTCCATGTAAAAAGCAGAAAATCAGAGCTTAGAAGTCAGCTGGTTGTTATAAAGCCTTAATTGGTCAATGTTTGTAATTGAAAGCGGTTCTGAACTGTAAAAACATTTCTAGTCCCATAACAGCGCGTCCACCCTCCCTTCGCTCTGTCCCTCTTGACTTGGTGACAGACCTAAAAGCCTTTTGTTGCAATCTTAGCCAATGGAGGCGGATTACGACACCGGGCTGCTGAGATATATAAAGAGCCCCTTTTTGACCGCACTTGCACATTTTTTTCAGTGACACTTCTGCACATGCACACACACACACCTCCATGGACTAAATTGCACACGGGGACCCACAGCGACCATCATATACTGCAAGTGAGCTGGCTATGCATTCATCAAGCAGATAATTGACCTTTCAATCAAACAGAAAAAAGCAGATCACACACTGGAACGCACTTTTTCTTTCTTTTTTTACTTTATTTCTAAACATCCCGGTGCAGGAAAAAGGAAAACCATCTTTGTGCTGATTGTGGATTAGAAAGATCCGGAGGTTTTTATTATTATTATTAGGCTGAGACAAGGATCCAAAGGGATATAACCAGGAATTAATCAACTAAAAGAGGCGAAAAAAAGTTTCCCTGCTTCATCATGCCGAGGTACGACTTGTTACCATGTTTGATGGCGCTCATCTTCCTGGGACTGTCAGGGAGCGACGAGCCCAATCTGCTGATGCCTTCTGCCAGCGAGACGCCCACGGACGCGGATCTGTCCCTGCTGGACGAGGACGCCGGCTCCCACGAGTGCTCCGCGTGCGTGTGGAGGGAGCAGAGCAAGGTGCTGCGGCTGGAGACTATTAAGTCCCAGATCCTGAGCAAGCTGCGCCTGAAGCAGGCGCCCAACATCAGCAGAGAGGTGGTCAACCAGCTGCTGCCCAAGGCGCCCCCGCTCCAGCAGCTCCTGGACCATCACGACTTCCAGGGAGACGCGTCGGCCCAGGATGAGTTCATGGAGGAGGACGAATATCACGCCACGACCGAGTCCGTGATCACCATGGCCTCTGAGCGTAAGTCACACCGCTGCATCATCCAGCGAATGCGTCTCCAAATGTGCGTCCTGCGCGTAAAATGGATCTGTGACAGCATCCATCCCTTCTGCTTGTTTGGCTTTGATTGTTTTCTTTTTATATATATAAAATCAAACACCTGAACCTCTCTAGATTAGGATTAATTGCAAATCTGAGCAATTTAATAATCTGGATTCATGTCATTCAGAGGCACACAGCCTTCAGATGACCTGTTAGTTTTTATGGTTGTGATGCTGATGATGGTTTTACTGATGGTGGAGAATATTAAAGAGCCAGGCTCAAACTTTTGGTTAAATAAAGAGAAAAGTCAGGCTTAAAACAAAACACTGAGAAACAGCTGATTCTCTGCATTTTCATCCTTTTGTTTGTTGCATGTTTTCTAAAATCTGGAGTGATCGCCCATTAAAGGAGCCCATAATCGATGCCTGCTGGAAATTTGCTCGTCCTCTTCTAGTTTCCCATAAATCCACAGGCAGGCCCCTCTGAGACATTTTATAAAATTACTGTTGAACCCTGACAGCTGTGCTCTATCGCTCTTTTTATAGGCGCCTCTACCGGTTTCCCTGCTGTTCATCGCAGTGAGAAAAAGTGTGTCCAAAATGCTGCCATTGTTCCCCGTCATGCAGCAGGGCCCCCCCACCGGCCGCACTTGCCTTTTAAATGCGGAGTTTATAGGCGCAGTTTTCCCCCCATCCTCTCTCTCTCTCTCTCTCTCTCTTTTTTAACCTCAAGTACACAAAGAGCGAAACACTTCGGGTCGAGGGGAGTGTGTGACCTTTTTCCCGGCAAATCGTGGGGCTCAACAACATTTACACACATAATATATTCTGCACACACACTTCCAATTATAACCCTCTCCTTTGTGAGCGACTATCTGGACGGCATCGGGTATCTGATGAGCATCTTTGCTCATATCTCAGAAGAACAAGACATATTGGCTTTTATGAGGATCTCCTATGTAGAGAATGAATCTGTCAGAAGTGTTCTGCGGTGGTGGCAGCATCATGCTGTGGTCTATCTTCTTTTGACCATTGAGCCGATGTGACAAGTTAATTTTTCAACTGTAAGATCCATAAAGTCTGTCTTATCTTATCTTTTCTAGTCTTGTCTTATCTTATCTAGTCTTGTCTTATCTTGTCTTCTCTTGTCTTGTCTAATCGTATCATGTCTTGTCTTCTCTTCCCTTATCCCATCTTATCCAGTCTTGTGTTGTCTTCTCTTGTCTTATCTAGTCGTATCATGTCTTGTCTTCTCTTCCCTTATCCCATCTTATCCAGTCTTGTGTTGTCTTCTCTTGTCTTATCTAGTCTTATCATGTCTTGTCTTCTCTTCCCTTATCCCA